TCACTATATATTTACATTAGGTACGTCCTCTTTTCGCTAAAAAAAACAGCATACCATGATGAAAAAAGGCCAAAAACTTAATAAAACCAATTTTTTTTCGTCAAAATGTTTATGTTATTATTAAGAGGAACGATCAAAGTATTTTTTATCATTTAAAAAAAAAATTTATACCTTTCTATCACGTTCGAATTTTTGGTTAAAATTCCTGGGGTTTTTTTAAGTCTGCGAAAAAAGTAATTTTTACAATGAAGTGTATTTGAGATTTTTTCCGGTTAAAAACACATTTTTTGCAAAAATCAAATAATTGTTGGATTTTAAAAAATTTTTAGAACTTATTCACAACTGACTTGAGATTTTTGTTTTAGAAAATGTTGGTAATTTTTTTTTTTTACATATGTTACACCCTCTTATTTCATGAAATTTCGAGAAATTAAATCGTATGTCCAAACTTTCTTATTAGTTAAAAGTAGGACTCCTTGGAGAATGTAAATCATCCATTTTTTTTTTCAAACTTTTGTTCGTTTTCTGAAAATCTGCTCCGAGTAGTAAACTAAATAAATGTAATAAAACTTTGACATTCTTTAATTAGAAAAAAACTTTTAATTACTTCTGTAAATGAGTTTTATTTACGACATTATTGTCTTAAGAAAATCTTTTTTCGATAGATAATGAATTTTTACCAGAATATTTTTATTTTTTTAAAATTTTAATTATAATAATTTATCAAAATTTAAAAATCGTTTAAAAATCTTCCATGCCGTATTTCTTTTAGGTGATATTGTAATTAAGTAAAAACTATATTTATGAATCAAAAATTGAAAAACTTGTTTTGCACCAATTTTTTTTTAAATAATTTAAAAAAGTTTTTCTTTAAGCATTCCCATTTTTTATCTATGGTAGTCTATACGTAACATTTTTATGAAATGGTCATGTGTTCTAGGAGTTGTCCTCTTTTTACAGAGAAAATCGCTTGTTTCCAATTCGTCCTTCATTGCTTACGTTTCAACAGGTTTTGAACATCATCCCTTCAGTTTTAAAAATTTTAAATTTAAAATAAATTTTCCTTTTTTAATTTCTATTTCACGAAATATTTTTATTCTATGTATTTATTTTAATGTGGGTCATAAATTATTGATAAATTATTTAAATTAATATGTAAATCATGGTATTTCGTCTCGGTTATTAAATTTTAAAATTAATCTAAGAAAATTTTATAGTATTTTAAATTGTATTATTTTTCATAAAACATCTTCAAACGTAACTAAAAGTCAATAAAATATTAGATAATTGCTGAAAATGTGTTAATTTGTAAAAATTACTAGGTAGTTAAAAACCAAAAAAAAAAAAATGCGTTCACTTAGATTTCATAAATTTATATCAATTCTGGTCATCCATGCTAGCTGTCAACACCTTGGAGCTTATCGATAACGTCAATAAAGACATGAGAAAAATAGGACCCGTCGTTAATAAATGCTTGTATCCTATTTTTTATAGTAATTTTAAGTAATAGTTGTTTCAAATCTGATTAATTTAACTTGATAAATAAAATTCCGTGGTCATTTGCATAACACAAGAAATTTGTATGCGAAAAATACAGAACGTAAATATACTGTAAATAGTCTTTATGAGAAGAGAATTGCATCCTTAAGTATTAACTCATTTTTCCATAAGTTGCAACTATTTCAAGAATTCACTCAGATAAGCTTTTGTAAAATATTTTATCTGTATTACTCGAGCAAGCTTAAAAAAAAAGATTTATCTATATCTATATCTGTGTGCATGTTTGTATGTGTGGGTGAGTGTAATTCTACGCAAATCAGATAATTGCCGGATCTTAATGAAGCTTTCAGTACTTATTTACAAATTAATTAAATTATTTTAGAAACGTTTCTTTTGTTAGAAAATCTTGGTAAAACTATTTTTACATATGTTACCACCACTTATTTAATTTTATGAAATTTTCCGAAATTAATTATTATACCGATTAATGTTTATATCATTAATTATGAGCACAAGTCCTGAATCGTAAAATAAAAAAAATGCAATAAAACGAAGACATTATTTAATTTAAAAAGTTTTTAATTGCTTTTATTAATAAGATATATTATGGACATTATTGTCTTAAGAAGATTATTTTTTTTAAAAAATACTGAAATTTTTACAAGAATTGTTTTCATTTAAAAAACAATTAATTATAATAATTTATAAAAATTTTAAATCTTTTAAAATTCTGTATTAACTTGCAGCGATTAGGTAATATTGTTATTAAGTAATGACTATATTTATTAACCATAAACGAAAAAGGTTATTGCAATTCAGAAAACCTCAGTATTTTAAAAAGAATTTTGTTTTTTGTTTTTGTTTGTGTGTGTGTGTGTGTGTGTACAAATGTACCGATTTTTGTAAATATAACCGTTCATATACAACATTATCAGAATATAAGAGCTTATAGTAAATTTAAAATGTATTGGCAATTTTCTAATATTTTCTCAACAAGCGTCTTCGTAAGCTAAAGTACCTAAAATTCAACAAAATATGAGATTACTTAGAATATTTTCCTAAATTTTTAAGATTACTGCGTAGTTATAAAAATCATGAAAAAGGACGCTCACAATATATTCCTCAGGTAATTTTTACAAACAGAAAACTTTCCCAAACATAAGTCTATCATGAAAGTTGTCAACACATAACAGCACTCACACCGTGTTAAAAATAATTTTCTGCGATATTTTAAACTAAAAGTAATATTTGCTTCAAATCAGATTAATTCAACTTTAAATCAGTTAATCTTCCTCAAATGACGTTTCAGAAAAGTATATTTTATTTTTGAAAGATTTTTGTTAATAAAGGGAATCATGCTGTCTTCGTTGATTCGCTCATATGGCTGATTTTTAGCAATTTTTACGATTTCAAGAAAATAATTCCAATCAATTTAGTGTTTTGCTTATTGGAAATTTTAAATTTAATCTATTTGATTAAAATTAAAACTAAATAAAAGCTTCAAGAAAGGTTTTCCATTTTTTAAAAATGCTTTTAAACCTTATGTATCGCTTTTCTTTGGAGATACCTAAATTAATTACTAATTTCTTTGTTAATCGCTAAAGTAAAATAGCAACTTGTTTTATTATATCTACTTACTAAATCGTGGCGATTAATAGGACTTTAATTGTAAAATTAAACATGTAACATGTTGTAAAATTAAACATGTAACATGTTGTAAAATTAAACATGTAACATGTTGTAAAATTAAACATGTAACATGTTGTAAAATTAAACATGTAACATGTTGTAAAATTAAACATGTAACATGTTTGGCTTTTAATTAAAAAAAAATGGGTTACTACAAGATTACAACGAATTGATAAATAAAAAAATATTTGGAAATCTTAATGATATTTTTGATTGACCATGCTAATGTGAATGCTATTTATGTTGCCTTGTGAATGAAATTACATAATGAACGAAGTAATTAGTAAGTGTGAAAAACTTGAATAGTCCACTTACAAATAAATATAATTTTGCTGTTAAAATCAGTACTTTACATTTGTTGACAGGGTTGTCAACAAGAAAATTGTTTCATCTTGAAACAAAACAAGGAATGCTCGCAACCACAGATGAAAAATCATTTACAATATTTTGTTGTTTCAACAAGTCTGAAAGTAGAGTCATACTTTTAAGTATGACTTTATTTGAGTCCCTTTCTTTTTTGTTAAACTATGACGAGGCGTCCTCAAAAGGAAAAGTGCTGAGAGGGCTTGAACAATTTTTTTCTATGGCTTTGCTGAAAGCTCACATTAAACTTCGACCTTGTGCCACATTCTATTGCGAGGTGGGCATCTTGAGTTAGCGGCCAGATCGACTAAACGAATATATTCGAGAAACAAAAAAGGCGCTTATTTGAGAAACGAAAGTGAGGCCTTATTTGGATCAGGGAGTTTAAAGTCAAGTTTGATCAAAAATATACTTTCTTTCAATATTTTAAATATTGGTTTTTAAATAAGATGGGATACAATTTTTGTTAAAGATTGTTTGAGAAAATAAGATTTTTGACAACTACCACAAATATTGTCACGATCAGTCAATTACTTTAGGAAAAAACCGTTAAAATTTGATTCATTTGTCAATTTAACATTCAAATTTAGAGTCGCTTATTTCTTACAACTTCTCATAAGATAAAAATTTACATTATTTTTGTGTTTCTTATCGTTTAACAGGAAAGACATTCAAAAAAACAAAAAAAAAACCTCAAAGGCCCGGTGGAACTTTTTCAGTGTTGTAAATAGTCGTCACATAAATTTGGACATAAACAGATAATGTAACATTTTCTTAAGTAAATAATAAACGTACAACCTGGCTACAAAGAAAATAGTTTTATAAAATGAAAAATTTATTTAATTACTTCATGTCAATTATTAGACTTGCTATATGCTATTAATCAACCGCAATTATATTGTAAGACATGTTTTGTTCTAATATTTCTTTTTTTTTTTCTTTTTTACTTGAACACATTTCCAGCTTGTGTGGCTTTACATATAAACTACTGATAACTTCGTTATTTTTCAATATAAATACCATTATTTCAAATAGAAACCACTAGTTGTTATCAGTAAAGCAACCTAGGAATGTACTGTATATAAATGCAGTCATGCGTAACAGTGCAGCGAGTTTTATCGCATGGTGTTTTACATAAGAGGATGAAAGATATAGGAATGTTATATAGAAATCAATTTCATAAAAGAAAGAATCATCAAGTATTAACCGTTTGGAGAAAAAAAATACGCCCAGACACTCACTGTTATATATGTATGAGTGAGTCAACAGCAGGAAAAAATTCCCCCAATTTCTTTTTAAAGAAAAAGAATTAAAAAGAACAAAAAAAAAAAAAAAAAAAAGAAAAAGAAGATAAATGCAAAGCTTCTGATTGATTGAAACAGTTCAATCTTCCGGGTTTGCTGGTTCTATATAAATGAAACCTCATCGGGGACAGACAAAGAAGAAAGATGGAGAAATTGGTTGTGATCCTCCTGGTCTTGCCTCTCTTCTGCAATGGACAGACTGTTGACCAAACGATTCAGCCACACGCTCGTGGGGAAGATGTCGTCGACGCTGTCATTGGCAGAATTCGTTCCTCGTGTATTCTAAGCGATGACAAATACTTCATGAAAAGAATTGCTGCTGTAGAAACAGACTATGGCAAGAACAGTTCCCCTAACAATGGCGGAATCTGGAAGGTAAGGAATGCTTTAGATTATAAGCTTTATTCTTATTCTTAACTTTGTCAAATACAATAATTATACAGATATTCTTCCTGATCAAATAGTATTCTATATGGTTGAACAACAACAGACGTTATTTGATAAAAGAAAAAAGATTCATCATTTATCTGAAATAAACTATACGTTATAATGCTATCTACAATAATTTGAGAGAAAATTCATTTTTTTTTAAATTTACACTTTACAGTATAATCACTTTTATTATATCTGTACATCTTTCAGTTTTCTCATGGTATTATTAGATCTTTATCAATAATTACTTTCAAGAAAAATATATTAATATACTATATATTTAATCAAAAAGAAAACTGCTACTTTTTGGACGAATACAATTTTTCAGTATGTGTGTTTGATAATTTCTAGTTAGCAAGCATTGGTCTCGTGCAGCTTTTAACCCTGCACAACGTAGCCACTGATCGGTATGGGGTTTGTCTACATAAGCTTGTTTGGTACGGAAAGCGTACTGACCGTGAAGCGGTTTATCTTGCCATATTTTCTGTATCTGGTCGGTTGCATTTGCTTTTGATTTCTTTTTTAAGTATTTTGCAGCTTTAGTCGGTGTATTGGGCTTTACTTGTATTTCTTCACCCATTTGAAACTCCATTATTATTATTATTATTATTATTATTATTATTATTATTAGCATATGATGTTGGTTGCTCGTAAGAAGTTTGTGTTCAGGTCACTACTCGTGACTTATGAAAATAAACAGATCATATATTCTTTTCACGGCCATGCTGTATCCATTATTTTTTCGAATTATGTTCACCGTTCAGAGCAGGCAGGCATTTTGTAATAGCTCTATTTTCAAGTGGCAACACAGAATCTGCAGTATTTTCCCACGTTTTTTGTACAATACCTCATGGTTCCAATGATCACTGGTTCTGTTGCTACTTTCTTTTAGAGTCCTTGCTAGACTTTCAGAATATTTTACTTTAAAACATTATATTTGTTTATAGTCAAAAGACAAACATTACTAAGAGCTGCAAAGAATAGGAAGTTGTGGATCGCGAACATTCTGAAGGGACAGGAAACGCAGAAAAAGTTATCGTTCTTCTTTTCTTTGCGTTCAGTTTTCATATCAAATGGATAGGAGCCTTCTGTTTGGTAGAAAATCTTTTTCTTTTCATCATTGTTATTATTATTATTATTATTATTATTATTTCCTTTGATTTCTGTTGCATACTAATTACCTTCCGGTTCTCAACCAAAAATTTAGTGGGCACCTCGACGTGGTGTAATGTTTAGCAAGCGTCTCTCGTGAGATCAATTACCGCTGAATAGTGAGTTCGATCCTCACTGAATGCTCTAAACTTTTGGCCTTGTGTCACATCTAAGCTACGCTCAGAAAATTCATTTTTTTGGTACTTCAACGTGGTGTAATGGGAAGCAAGCTTGTCTCGATATATCAATTACGATTGAATATTGAGTTTGATCCTCACTGAGTACTGTCGGTCTTGTTCTACATCTAAGCTACACTTAGCAAATCCTCACTTAACCAAAGATCTAAGATCATAATAACATTCGTAACGTGTGGGCTGTACTCGTGCGAACAAATTTTGTATTTCTTTAAGGCATGTGCTACTGGGAATCCCTTCAATGGGTCTGGACGTTTTCCAATCAATCCGCGGGCGCCAACTACAACTGGAATTGTTAATGTTTTCATGTGCCACATTTCTGAGATTCCGATTTCAAGGTCCTTGTATTTTGATAGTTTGTTGTAGATCTTCAAAGATACATTGCAGTTTACAGAGACTGCCATGTCAATAAGGAGGCATACTTTGTCTTTGCGGTCTCTAATCACGATGTCTGGGTGATTAGCTTTGATTGCTCTATCTGTGTGCATTGTGAAGTCCCATGAAATTGCTACAGGTCCTATCACCATAACCGGGTCTGGGTGATGTTCATGTCACTTTCTTGTAGTTTTCTTTCCATAAAAGTTGCAGATTTTCCAGTGCAGATATAGACCTACGCTGTCATGCCGGTTTTATATTCAATAATATGCTAATAACGTGCAACCTGATACAAGATGGCCAATTGTCTCTGGAGATTTATCACAGAATCTGTATTTTGGGCTGAAACACTTTTTTCAATATATGTGCATGATAATTTTTCGTTAGCAGCAAGAATAAAACCTTCGGTTTCATATTTTAACCCTGCACTACCACTGAGCAGTACGTATTTTACATAGATAAAGCCCTTCATAAGATGTGGGCTGTACTTGTGAGTACATTTTTTTTATTTCTTTAAGGTATGGGCTACCAGAGATGCCTTCAATGAGTTTATTAGAATCTTTTCCAATCAATCCGAGGGCTCCAACTACAACTGGAATTATTAATGTCCTCATGCGCCACATTTTTGAGATTTCGATTCCAAGGTCCTTGTATTTTAATACTTTTATTATTATTATTATTATTATTATTATTATTTCTGCTATGGACACACTACCTACCAAGTCTGCGGAAAGACCTAAGGCAGGTCGTGGTGTGTTGTTATGGCCACATTTCATTCAATTTTTTTTTTTTTTTTTTTTTTTTTTTTCTCTCCGATGAAGTTGCTAGCGTTACATAGACAAAGTTCTCCTTAGTGTGTGTGCTGTACTTAATAAGACAATTTTCTGTATGTCTCTTAAGCTGGGGTTTCCAGGGATTCTTTCAATGTGTTGTTTTGTTCCATTTTTTATAATTCCAAGTGCACCTATTACCACTGGTATTATTCTTGTTTTCAATTTCCACATTTTTTCTATTTCAATTTCCAGGTCTTTGTATTTTGATAGTTTTTCAAATTCCTTGGTTTCTATGTTACAATCCGCTGGACAAGCCATATCAATTAGTAGGCAAGTTTTTTCTTTCTGGTTTTTGACAATAATGTCCGGCCTATTTGCTTCAATTTTTCTGTCTGTGTGGATGGTATAATCCCATAGAATGGTGACATCTTCTATTTCTGTAACCGGCGCTGGCCGATGTTCATACCAGTGTTTGCTTACACATTTTCCAAAGTGTTTGCACATTGTCCAGTGTAAGTATTGCCCCACTCTATCGTGACGATTTTATATTCATTTGGGGCAAGTATAGAACATCCTGAGATTAGATGGTCTATTGTTTCTTGGTATTTGTCACAGAACCTGCATTTTGGATCCACATTATTATGTATGATATTTGCCTGAAAATTCCTAGTGAAAAGACTCTGGTCTTGCGCTGCAAGAATAAAGCCTTCAGTTTCAGACTTTAATCCAGATGCTCGTAACCATCGATGAGTATTAACTTTATCAACATTGGGTTTATTTGCACGTTCTGGATATTGGCCATGCAGAGGTTTGTCTTGCCAGCGTTGTTTCATCTGTTCAAGGGCTTTATCCTTGGCTTTCTTTTTTCATATCTTTTGCTGCAATAGTTGGTTCTTGGCTTCTGTTTTGATTTACTACAGAATCTACTAAATGTAAATGTTGTTTGTATTTACTGCCTTCTTTTTATTATTGAATATTTTTTTTCTTTCTGTTTTCATGTTGTTTCACTAATTTTATCATCCAGTCATTTGTTGTTTCCATGTAAGTTAGTAAGCCAATAGTTGTTGTCTTGTATGACAATTCTAGCTGAATAAGACCTCTTCCACCTTCTTTACGGGGTATGTATAGACGGTCTACATCAGCCTTTGGATGATGCATCTTATACTTAGAAAGAAGCTTTCTTGTTTTAGAATCCATTTGTCTGATGTCATTTAGAGTCCAGTTCAAGATGTTGAAACTATATTGGACCACTGGGATGGCAAGGTTATTAATGGCCATAATTCTGTTCTGAGAATTCAATTCAGTTTTTAATACCAGTCGTACCCTTCTATAGTACTCTTTACGCACTATTTCTTTCATTTTCTTATGGTGAATTCCTTCACTCTCATTTACACCTAGGTACTTATAAGCTTCTCCTTGTTCTAAATCTTTTATTGTTACAGCAGGGTCTAAACTAATAGAGGAAGTTTGTTGTAGCGATCCTCGTAAAACTGTAGCTTTAGCACATTTATCCAAATTGAATTTCATTCCAATGTCTTCACTGAAGCATTTTACAGTTTGCAGAAGACCTTCCAGCTCATTGTCATTCCTAGCATACAATTTTAAGTCATCCATGTAAAATAGATGGTTTATTTTCTTTTGAGCTATTTTGTAACCGCATTCTGTCTTGTTAAGTTGGCTGGTTAATGCTATAAGTGATATGCAAAATATTATTATTATTATTATTATTATTATTATTATTATTATTATTCGTCAAGTTGCCCATGGCGAAGAGAAATGTTGCAGTTGTTTGTTTTTAAATGCAGTTAATTTTTAAATTGTGTGTAATTAGCATATTACGATAATGAAATCTAACTTATAGCAAATGACCATAAATAGAATACAATTGTTTGTGTGTCTATTGTGGCGTCCTAGTTAGCAAGCTCCTTCTGAAAAATGTTTTAGTTCAGTCACCACTGGGCGTCCAATGTCTGTTTAGTTAACAACTAAGAGTTTTGCAATGGTATCATGTTTAGCGAGCTAGCCTTTGTTCCTTCTTGTAGTGAAATCGACCTTCATTGGATAACCAGCACGTGTGGCCTTATCTTAAAATACTTATAATAGTCATGGTTTATATTAAAGGTATGCCATTTTAAAATCTTTAAATAATTTTAATGTAATATCTTTTCTTGTAAGTGGGGAGTTTCTTATTTGTATTATGGATCGAAACTGTTTCACTCTTTCAACCCGAGATCTATTCCTTTTTTCATTCGATATTTTGGTGAATTCTTCAATAATATAACAATAAGATTTGTTTTGTGTCTGGATCAGAAAAAAGTTTAATAAGTTAGGATTATGAAGAAAAATATATCTTACTTCGTTTTATTCTTCTGGATTAAATATATCTTTTTCAATAATTTAAAATCAAGGGTCGGCAACCCCCGGCACCCAGGCCACATACGGCTCATGAAGGATTTTTGTCCGGCCCACCAACTTAACACCTAGACATTAATTATCTTCTTCATTTGTGGAGCAAGGAGCAGACAAATATCAGTTGGAGTTAATCGACTTACAATGCAATAAAGTTTTTAAATCAAAGTTTAATTCCAAATGAACTTCTGACTTCTACGTATTTACGTTTTGCCAAGCGGAAAATAAAAGCCCATTGAATAATGCGAAAATTATGGCATCATTATTTGGAAGTACATATACTTAGGAACAACTTTTTTTGAAAATTAAATATGCTAAAAGTCAGTTAAGAATAAGGTTGGGTGATAACCGCCTGAATGATGTTTGTTCCTATAATCAACAAATATTTTCCTTAAGAAGTTATTGAACAATAAGCAGAAACAAATGTCTCATTAAATAATTTACCATTTCTCACCGTATTTTGTTTGTAGTAAGGAATTTGCATTTTTTATTGTTTGTGTTAGTTGTTATCCTGTTATTCTTGTAGTAAAATAAGGAACCTTGTTTAAATAATATAACATTAACTTCGATGTTTTTTTTCTTTAAACCTCCAAACTAAGACAGTCTTCTGGATGGAATGGTCTGAAGTCGAGATAATTTATTATTGTACATTTGATATCATGACCTTCATCCAAGACATTGCATAGCTTTCTGGCAGGCTCTCCCCAAAAGTTTGCCGACACCTGATTAAAATAATTCAAGATATTTAAAAAATGTTTAACCTTCTATTTCAGGTTACTAATAACATTCTTAATTCGGTCATCAACAGTTGTCAGACGACAACGCGCACGATTTGTAACGAAATCTTACAAACATTCAACTTTGATATCAGCAAGGCTACATTTTTACAAATGGACGTCCCACTTTATTCTGGCTTAACAATGTATACCTACATAACAAATACTATTACAAACATTCCAACTTCCAGTCATTCCCAGGCATTATTGTGGCAAGCACATATCCGACCAACAGGAAATACGAATATGTTCATTGCAAAATCATCCATCAGTTTCAGTAAGTAATCATTTCTTAATATTTTTATGGAAAAAAAAAGGACGGATGCATAATAAATCTGTAATTATGTATTAAATTATATTTGTGTGAAGGTCTTATCTATGTGCCCGAGGATGATGTAAGTAAACATTGAAATGTTTTCAAAATGATTCCTTGTCTACTATAAAATGATATATATTGAGCTAAAAGTATATTCTTCAGAGTTACATTCATCCATTACATTTAAAAATTGTCAGCGAGAGACAGAGAGGAGGGAATTCTTAGATCTCCATGTGTCTTTTCTATAAATACTTTCATGGTAATTGTTCGGATGATCTCTTTGCTATTGTTATTTTATTCCCCCTCCCCTCAAAGACATGAATTGTACATATGAGGACAAGTTAGGATTTTCATCGAGACATTGAGATATTATGGTGGATGTTGTAAGAATGGTAAGTAAGAATGCTTTTTTTTTTTGGTGTAAGGAAAATTGTGGTATTTTAGGTCGATGATCGTCGCTAGCTAAGTTTAATGTTAAGGCAGAAGAAGACCATTCTTTTTCCCGCATTCTCCATTTTGGCCTTGTGCCACATTTCTGTAAATAATACGGAATAGATATCGCTCTTCACTATAGAACCTAGACTTTTTTTTCATTTAAGCACAGTACTTTTCTCGCACTTCTCGTTTGTGGGTCTTCCTTTTCTACCAACTTTAATCTGAAAAAATTCAAATGCAATGTTAATCGCTATCTACTGTCCTCCTGATTCCGCTTTCCTCTTCCCTCTCATTATTAATGTTTATGTTCCTAATTCTTCCACGCCCTGCAATTCCTTGTGTCTTAGCGGCTTTAATGCTTTGCATGGAATGATACTGATTAAAAAAAGTTCGATGAATATGAACAATGCGTGTTTAACAGGTCTACATATATGGACGCATTAAAACACATATGTTTATATGCATGTTCAAATCTTTTTACCCTTACAATCATATATACAATGTGTAGTTTAAATCCTCTCCATTTTCTGAGAAAACTGAATGCCATTTCATATAAACTAGTAAATCGATTCTTTATACAACACCTTGAAGGAATAAGTACCCTTCAAGGATGTTCACTTTGAATTTTTATTTAGCAGTAAATAAACTAATAACAGATAAGACGTAAAGCAATTTTATCTAATCACTGAACATTCTGGTTTCATAAAATACGCCTTAAAGAAACTAGATGAAATTATTTAAATTAATGGTATCATTTTTTTTCAAAACCATGCAAAAAATATTATGGAATAACCTAATATTAGGGGTTAAAATTTATGGAATTCATCGAATAAAAATTGGAATTAATACTTGCCCCTCTTCAAACTTACGAGTATATGTCAGGATTAATTTTCTCAGACTTTGATAATATTTTTTATCAAAGTGATTTCAACTTTCTCGAATACTTGCTAATAGATCTATTTTGATGAATGAAGTTTTCTCGTGGACCATTTTTATCACCATAAATTTTCAGTTGGATTTAGATTCGAACTGTCATTAATGCCTTTCCTAAGAAAAATAAACTCTTCCTTTGCTCTGCGACGAGATGCATTATCCTTGAAATGAGAAAATTATCCAAGAGTCCAAGGCACACATGCGTATTGACTGTTGAGGTGATGATTACTATCTCATCTTCTCTTTTAAATGAGATGCAAGCCCATAAAATTAAGGACCGTAAAAGCAAGACGCTAGTTGATCGCTGGCAGGCCGCAGATGGCAACGCCAGCGGTCCTCTGGTGGCAGCCATCGACGGGCCAACGGTGAGGCCACTAGCGGCCCGCAAGTGGTAACTTTGCCGAGACGAACACGCTGGCGGTCCGACATCTGGCAACCAGCAATAAACGCTAGCGGCATGCCACTCAGTGGCAGATTGCTGGCTTGCGTGTAGGGGAATTGGTTAATTTACTTCTGTTCTTCAGGTAGTCATCCTTATATGTTTCATTTGAACGGCACTAGTCAAAAGTTTCAGTATCATCGCCATGGCAAATGCAGATTTTTGATTCTTCATTGGATATAACTTTCAACCAATCCTCCATACACTATAATTGTTTCTGTTTAACCCATTTTAACTTTATTTTCTCCTGTGTGTTAGTGTTGGTTTTTGTTTGTTTTTCTATATGCAAGTCCTATTTAATTCAGTCGAATACTTACAGTTCTCTCACTGACCTACGTTTCAACCTATTTGTTTTTCATTTCTTTGGTTGTATATTTTATATTTCCAATACACATATAGCTTTGAGGTTTCTATCCTGACGCTTTGCTGTATTTCATGTTCTACCAGTATGTTTTCCTTCTTTATTTTTTTAACCATTCCCATTTATAATTGCATCAACTTTTAGACACAACTGACTCCAATCGACGTTTTTCGACACACTCCACTATGGATTGTCTTTTTGAACGAGCTTTATTATTCTTTTCCTTGTTTCAATTGAAAGTTCTTTTTGTTGCAGCCATGTTTCTTTTCAATTAGGTATGCTCAACTGCTTGTTGGCTTACGGCTATATGGCGTTGAAACATCGGTTCCCGTACGATCACCGATGTTAAACAACATGAAGCCTCGTCAGTAATTAATTAGGTGTTTACTTGGGAATACCAGATTCCCTAAGCTTGGGTGGTGTAATGGATAATGACTCAGAATTGTTAATCGCAGAGCCGAATTCCATTTCCAGTTACATTTAGGAATGTATGAATACACTTCTTCTCTCTCCAGCCATGGGTTAATTAGTTAAGTCTTTTATGAATAAATCATTATCATTTTTTTTTAAATCTTACGATCTAAAATATTTTCTGGTTTTAAATAATCTACAATGGGTTGATAAGCCGTAGAAGACAAACCAATCAATCAACCGCTTGTTAAAGTCTGCAAGAACAATTTTTTAACGATAACCTGATTATCTAAGCTTCTGCTAGCATTTGCCTTAGGAATGCAAATTAAAAGATTATTCCATAATTTTGTTCTCAACAAGGTATATTTATGAATGTATATTTATGCTTAAGGTATATTTCATGAAGTCGGCATGTTCAACTATTAAATAAAAAGTGTTTTGCGACTTCTCTATTATTATTTTATATACTACTAAATAAACAAATGACAAGTAAACATCTTCCAAGAGGGATAATTCTATAATTTTTTTCAGGGGTTGCAGATAAATTATATGATTTATTATAATATTCTTGTCAGTAACGTTGATAGTATCGTTGAGACATACATGTCTCCAACCCTTTTTGACATAAAAGTTTCGGAGCATAATACAACGAAATACGATTACTTCAATATTTTTTTTTTTCTGCAGGTTGTTCTGCTGTGAAGATGGAACTGGTGTTTGCAATTGATGCATCCGGTAGTGTTGGATCAGATAACTTCAACAGTACCCTAATTTTCCTTACAAATGTTGTGAGAAAACTGCAAATCGCCCCCGACATGACACGCGTTGCTGTCATTCGTTTTTCTCACATTGCTACTATTTCTTTCGACTTAGACACTTACTATTCCGTTTCCAGTATGACATCCAAAATTTCTTCAATTAAATATACGGGAGGTGGCACGGCAACTTATAGCGCAATTGACACGGCGCGAATCAATGTCTTCAAAAAAGCCCGTAAAAATGTACCTAAAGTATTCGTCCTAGTCACTGACGGTTACTCGAATGATAAAGATCTAACTGTTAAAGCTGCTGATACATTAAAACAGAACGCAACCACCATCTTCACTATTGGTGTTGGTTCCGTAAATCATCAGGAGATGCTTGCAGTCGCTTCTTCTCCAAATTGCATCCATTATTATTCATTGAATTCTTATAGCGAAATCGATGGTATTATCAGTGAAATCCAGCGTGAATCTTGTGAAGGTAAGAAATTATTTCATTAATTGCAACATTAATAACATCTATTTGTTTTTATTCTAAGTAAATCTGTAGTCATTTTATTTGTAAATCGTAACGAATTCATTAAGGGATACAAATGTAAATAAATGACAAGGCAGTAACGTAACAATGGGAAAAGTAAAAAATAGAGCTATACAGCGCCGTATCGCTTTAGTCAAACGGTACTGCGCTGTTTAGTAAACAAGCATAGAATAAAGAAGTTGTGATAAAAAGCAATTATAATAAAATTAGAGAAAGACGAATCAAAATTTATAATGCTTCACCGAAAACATTTATAGACGATTACGTCGCAATGCTTTTCTAAATCTTTCCAGCTTTCTTTATAACTAAACAGTCTTGGTATAATAATAAAATGTTTTTTCGGAAAGTATGAAGCCATTTAACAGTCTACCGAAGGCAATGGCGCTTTACTCTCTTTAAAATTTTCCTTTGGGACCTCAAAAATTTTTCAGGCTTCCTTTTCAACTTCTAAATTAGTATATAAAGTCCTCTTTCGGGCGGGATCACTTCAACTGCTTCACCTTAACTTAATCCTTAATCATACAGCCCCCTATAGCGATTGCTGACGATCTGACTTTGTAGGGTTTTGCTTGTGAATAGCTCTGCATAGTGGTTTGTAGTCAGTGAATAGTACTAAGTAGTGTCCTTTTATGAGATGGAGAAATTGAATAACTTTTAAACAAGCTACTAGAAGTTCCCTGTAGAATGTGGAATATTTAGTTTGGGATTGATGCGGGTTTCTTGTCAATTAATTGTGGTCATGCAGCACCGACTGCATATTTACTTCTGTCGGTGACCAGCTGATTAACCGTGGCCCTACATTTTGGGTGTACTTATGCGGTTAAGTTTGAAAGTTGGTATGTAATGTTTTTGAAGGGTGTCTTTTCTGTCTCTGTAAACTCGAACGAAAATTTTGGAAATAATCTCATACGTTCTGAAAGCGATAAAACAATGAATACATAGAGATCAATTTACGATAGAATCCTGTCATGCCTAAAAATCTGCACAGATTCCTGGAATCTTTAGTATATGGGAATGATTGCGTCCTTTAATTTTATCATTGGTAGGTAACAGACTCAACACTAGTATTAAATCCTGAGAAATAAAGCTTGGGAAAATTGAATATAAATTTTACCAGCTAAACTTTTAAGTTATTTTCATTCAGTATGCTGAATACTTTACCTATTTTTATGTTGTTGCTGCTTATCACTAAAAGTCAGTATATTATCTAAGTATACGAACACACAATCTACGTTAAAAATATCTTGCCCATAAAATTTTAAAATGTAGCTGCGGCATATTTTTTAATTCAAAAGCTATACTATTGAACTCAAACAAACCAAATAGGTTTGTTATAGCTGTTTTAAGTATATCTTCTAGGTGTACCCTTATTTGGTGATAGGCAGAAGTTAGGTCTGTTTCAGAAAAGCAGCATTTATTCACGACTTTTGAGTTAAACGAAATTATATTAGGTATCGGATATCGGTCAGTTTTAATAATACTCTTAAGAGCTCGGAATCAACACACGCGCGATAAGAACCGTTCGATTTCCATATCATATGGAGAGGGGACGCCCACTGACTACTCAAGGAAGATATTACACTGATTTTCTGAAGTTTTTGAATTCATCCTGTGCACCCTCTATGTCCTGGTAGTTGCCTTTTTTTGGGGGGGTAGTGAAAACCGGTACTTGTTTCCCTATGAAAAAATCCACGATAATAATCTTTGATATTATGATGACATATACTTTTACCAGGGCAATTATTTATTAATTTGCTTACAAAGGTATGGATGTTAAGTTCATTGATTATTAAGTTAACTGAACAGGGTATCGATTTAACCTTATCTCTACGTTCAGTTACATTATGCCTTACATATTTATGTTTGAAGTCAACTATTAAACAGAAATTGCTCAAGAAGTCAAAGCCTAATAGCGGATTAGTGATATCTGCGAGAACCAATATTCATTATTACGTCCTTCTTAAGCATGTAATTCTAGACTTCTCTGACCATAGCATCTTTTTTCTCCATTAGCAGTGGAGATGGATACATGTGTTGAGTTTAATGTAAATGCCTTTTACTTCGGAAGGTGGTAAGATAGTAATGTTAGCACTCCTATCAATGAAAAAAATATTTTAGTAGGAAGATCTTTTCACCTTTTTTCACCTTTTTCACGATCACTTAATCTGATCTGTTGGCTTGAAGTGAGCGATCTGTTTGAATTTCAAATTCCAATAGAATTCTATTTTCATTTAACTCTCAGAGAGAACTTTTAGCTTGTGCATATCACCCGACTGTACCTTTAAATAAAATTGCACAATATCCAATGGATAACAATTCCTACCCAATTATATACACCTTTGTATTGTTCCTGAATTCATTTATTTGCTACATTCATTTAGAGGGTTGCTGGTTTCATCACATTATTATAGTCATCTCCACGAAAATCGCTAAAATAATCAGCAAACTGTGAGGAAAACATGCTCCAAACGTAATGAAAACATCGTCAAAATATTTGTTATTACTTAGAGAAAGGATCAAAGTATTTTTTTGATAACTTAATTAATTTTTTGTTAGTCATTTTTTATAACATTCGAAATTTTGACTAAAATACTTGTTTTTCTGGCGTCAGCGGTTACACTAACTTTTAGTAGAGATTTTCTAAGCGCTGCTTAGATGTGGCACAAGGCCAGAAGTATGGAACACCCAGTGAGGATCGAACTCACTACTCAGTTGTAATTGTTCTAGCGAGACGACAAGCTTGCTAACCATTACATCACGTCGAGGTGCCCGACACTAACTTTTAGTATAGCAAATTTTAGCCTCTTTTTTGCGGTGACAGACATATTAATTTGGAAATTCTTGTAAAAATCGAATAGAGTTTAGTATATAGAGTTTAAAAAAAAAAAAAAAGAGGGAACTGAAAAGGAAAGAATTAACTTGAGTCAAAAGGATTTCGAATCATATCAAACTACAGGAAAAGTATCATTGAAAAATGTTACAACATTTACCATTTCTTACATGTTCGGGGCATGGCACAAATGACTTTCCACAAATGTTCAATTTTCCGTCGCCAACGACAGATACTTATCAAATTTTATGGGGTAGGCTGGACTTATACTACAGATTGGTAGGGGGAATATCAAAGAATTCATTAAACAATGAGGTGGAAGCAAGGGAATAAAAGTTATACTTTTCCGGTCACCTCTCAACCTACTAACCGTTAAAGATATATTTTTAATTTTATTATTATTATTATTATTATTATTATTGTTGCATCCCAGCTCCTGTCGAAGTGGATATGACCAGTGGATTAGTAAACGACACTGAAATTGATAATAATCCCATACCATCTGGCAATGAAACCAAAACTCAAACTGTTCACATTCAATCCAGTAATACGACAGACAACTCTCAAAATATGACAAAAGTGAAGGTAAGATTTTGTCCAACTTCTCTGACTTAAAATAACTTTCGAAATCTAATGTGATATACAAATTGACTTTTATATTTTGGAATCCTATTTAATTTGTCATTTAACCAAATCGAATAATTAAACATTTGTAATAAAGAAAGGCTTTTTTTCCATCCATATTCAAATCGTATTTATTCCATCGCTTTATTTGTTGAACTTCTAATAACTTCCGTAGATTTTCCCAAATGAGTAACAAATAAATTCTCCTAAAATACAATAAATTTTATCATAATAAAATCTCAATATGTTTAACAGTAAAAACTTTATATAAAATGACGGAAGAGACTCGTAAACAAAGAAAAGAGATTTTTATTTATAAAGAAAATATTAGTAAAAAGTTCTATTACTAATAGTTTGCTTTCACAATGACAAGCGAATGTTAAAGGAAGCTTGTATGATTTTTTTATAGGTTGCTGTCATTTGTGGAATAGTACAAGTGTATGCATCCAACACTTTTAAGAAACCAAGCGCAGCTTTTCATGCCTATAGTGCTATTGCGATAGATGGTAAACCCGGATGGGTACAATCTGCTGCAAACCAAATTTTGTTCCTTTCATTCTTTTCCCGAAAACGTTTCGATCTGGCGACATCAGCATGTACCCACCCTCATTATAACATTAGTATCAACCCACCAGACGAAGGTAGGTAATCTTTCACACATTTTAGAAGGACAGTGAAATAAAAAAAAAAAAACAACCTATAAAATCAGAATAGATGTTATACGAATAATGTGTTTAAGGTTAATGTAAATATACGTACATATTTGCTTGTATAAAGTAAGAACCTTGTAGTTTTATTATACGGTTTTAAAAATAAAGGAAATAAAAACTAAACTCTAAAGTTATAATAAATAAGAATTTTTTATAAATAATGTATTGAATAAAAATAAAATGTTTAAGATTCAAGTAATGTTGCTGATGTAAAATAATCAGTTACCAGAATATCAGTGTTGTTCGTTGTGCTTGATAATTTCTTCTTAGTTCGCGGTTTCATGACTTTTAGCACTTACTGTTGTGTTACATCATATAGTTTTACATGAATTTATTGGAGTTCTTGAACCCATCTGAAACAATGCATTTCGTATGTATTTTTCCTCATTACTTTTTGTTTTTCAGGAGTCAAAATAATCTGTAAAGAAAATGGAATTGCGAGGGAATGTACACGTAATGACATTACACAATCATTTGGCCCTCTGTGTGGTAGGTGCATTAATTTTATATTGTATTTTTATTGTATACGCATCGAACTAATTACTAGTAATTAACATCCTGCTAAGAGTTACCAATAATTATTTCGCTTTTGATGCTTATCTATTTAATATCTCAAGACGATTTTATTTCCGCTCACTAATGTCTGATAATTAGTCATTTCAAATTATCCTTAAGGTAAATAATGAAAAAAGAATAACAAATTGTTTCCAAGTTAATTCAACTGTAGTTTCTTTCTGATAAATAGTCAAGTAATGGTTAAATTGACGATGCCCGAAATTGTATTCTGTATTAAATTTGACTTTCATTCACACCGAATCATATATGTATGTATAAAGAGTAAATATCTTTTAATCCAATTCAGCGGTAAAACGCTCGGGCGTTTCAAGATTGAAAAGATCAGTAGAATCAGATGTTCATAGAAGTAACTTTGGATTCTAAGTTCTAAAGTTAACAAAGCGAGTGCACCAAATTCTTTAACATTATTAGATGTATTCTGAATAGACATAGTTTACTGAATTCGAGCGGCCAGCTATACACAAACACACACACACATATATGTAATAGCTGGCCGCCTCGAATTCAATATAAACTATAAAATAAATAAATATATATATATATATATATATATATATATATATATATAGGTGCCTCCATAAATTTGCTAAATAAAAATGAACACACGTGATGAAAACAAATGCCCAAAACTTTTACAGTCAAAATCTTTGTGTCATTATTAAGAGGAAAGACCAAAGGATTTTTTTTTATGTAAGAATTATTTTTGTTAATCCTTTTTAAAAAGTTTTAGAAATTTTGGTTAAAAAACATGTTTCTCTGGCGTCAACGTGATATAAATTTGTATGGGAAATTTTAACGTCTTTTTTGCGGCGAAAAACGTTGATTTAGAAATTCTTGCAAAAATCAGATAATTGTCGGATTTTAATGAAACTTTCAGAACCTCTTCACGAATGAATGAAAATAATTTTGTAATTTTTATTTTATTTTTTAGAAAATCTTGATAAAAATATTTTTTTTTACATTTTTTATATCCCACTTATTTCCGGAATTTCTTTTTTGTTGGTACTTAATGTCTATTATTTATAAAGACAAGTCATCAGAGAATCAAATCAACAATTTTTTTTGTCAAATAGGACCACAGTTATAGAAAATATGCTCTAAATAATAAAATAAAATTGCAATAAAACTTAGACATTATTTAATTGCAAAATATTTTTTTTATTTTTAATTGCTTTAGTCTTAGGAAGAAAATTGGTTTTGATGAATAATGAATTTTTACAAGACTTATTTTCATTTTACTTAATTTTAATTATAATATTTATACAGTCTTAAATCTTTTAAAATTTTGTATTCTTTTTTAGTGCTCAAATAATATTATTATTAAATAAAAACTGTATTTGCTAATTATAAATATAAAGTTTACTACAATTCATCAATTCACAATATATTAAAAATAATTTTGAATTATTTTGTGAGTGTATAAATGTGACGATTTTTCTAAATACAGACGTCCATACATGACATTATCAGCTAATAAGAATTCTGACTATAGTAAATTTAACATTTATTGGCAATTTTCTAATATTTTCCCAACAAGCGTCTTCATTAATAAAGCTATAAAGCCAAAGTATCTAAAATCCAATAAAATGTTAGATTGATTAAAATATTTAAAATTTTTAAGATTACTAGGCAGTTAAACAATTATATAAAAAGGGCGTTTACGTTGTATTCCTCATGTAATTTTTATACAATTATTTTCCCCTTACATAAATTTCCCAAATATCATGTTGTCGATAAATGTCAATACCTCATGAAACACCCACCTTCGTGATAAAATTGATTTTCTGCGATATTTTAAACCAAAAGTAAATAATATTTGTTTAATTTCAGATTAATTAAACTTTAACTCAATTAATCCTTCGCAAATAAAATTTCAGAAAAGTATGTTTTGAAATATTTTTTAATAAAGAGAAATTTGTTGTGTTGTCAGATTTTAGCAATTTTATTGGTAATCAAAAAAATCTGTTTAAATTCTCGTAAGCTTGGAATTAAAACTAAAATAAAATCTTAAAGAAAGAATTGCATTTTAATCATTACGTATTTACTTTTTTGTATATATATATATATATATATATATATACATACATATATCCTGAACTGCGTGCGCTAGATTCTTTGTAATTCTCACATTTAGTACATTGATGAAATCAGAAAAACTCCTTCAACATGACAGTGTTCTATTGACCAGATAATACTGAGAGAACTTTTAATTAATCTAGACCCGTAAACGAGAAACCATTGAAAAAGAACTGAAAATGTACCTGGAAATTTTCAAAAGAATTTACTTTGTATTCGTCGTTTGCTTCTAATTTGTGATGCGGCACACTCAATTATGAAATACTGAAATTTACCTAAAATATTCAAGCAATGTGTATCAACATATAGATCTCAGAAATTTAATAAATTCATCAAAGATAATCTATTTGATGGCATATGGGACACAATTCGTCCCATATAATAAGACATTAAAATATATTACCAGAGTTTTATATTCGAAGTTGAGGTATCTGATGGGAAGCTAACGACGCTATAGATAACGAGTATTTGTATCTAGTTTATCTACATAATACTATATTAAATATAAATTGGGGCGTCTTATATGACTTTAAATAAATCAGTTTGGTTAAGTCATTGCGTTCTAGAGAGCGACTGAATTAAAATGTAACATTGAGTATGAGAGAGAATTATCGAGGATATTACGTTTCAACAAAGTTATTTTCAAAGGTAAATGGAAACAAAATTGGAATGAAAATTGGTAATGAAAAATAAAAAATTAAACAAATGCATAAAAGAAGATTTAAAGTCTAAAATTCCAATTTTTTCTCTACACAACACGATTCAAATTGAAAATTAGTCCACGTTTCAAATTACAAAGTAATCTTTACGCTTCCATTTTATTTATATCTTCTTTCATGAATATTTAATTAACTCCGTCATAATTTATTTTCTGTCATTTCAGGTGATGACAACATTCCAAATCCATGCACTAAGACAAATATCCTGAATAATATAATGCGGTTTAAGCATCCAAAATCGACCACTAAATACATCCAATGTAAGATTTCAGGAGAGATGGAAATTGTCAATTGTCCAACAGGAACAAAATACGACGAAAATCAACAAGTGTGCGGTCCTCAAATTATAAGTCCTCCCCAGAATAGCACTTTATACAACGGCTCAAATCCATGCACCGTAGAAGCCATTAGGAGAAGACAATTTTATTTTGCTAATCCATCAGACATATCATCGTTTATTCAGTGTAACGAATGGGGAACTGCTTTTCTCGTAAACTGCCCAATTAATACGGCTTGGTCACAACAAGCTTACACATGTGTTCATCATTCCAGCGCAATTTCTCCCGCTATTAACCCATGTAACTCCTCTCAAAATAACCAGTTTTATTTTGAAAATCCTGGAAACCGAAAATCATTCATCCAGTGTGATGCGTTCGGAAACGCTTTCATACAGCCATGTCCGTTAAGAACCGTTTGGTCACAGGCCAATCTTAGTTGCGTCCATGATTCTATCAATTTGAATTGGAATATAACCTACCCCTCAGAATCTTCTACCCCTAATCCTCTTAATACTAATTTTCCTCCTTCTACATGCACACATGGGGAATATTTGCCGCATGAATCTGACCCCCAAAAATTTTATCAGTGTGATTGGGGTAAGTTGGTTTTGAAGGAATGCGACGGCAAACTAGTATTTTCGAAGAAAATTAATGGATGCGCTTGGCCATAAAACAACAAGATGCTTTTCTTCTGTAGCAGCTTAATTTAAAAAATCAAATTTAAAAATTAACATTTAATCTCAATAAATTGACTTAGAATTAGGAAGATTTGTGTAGATCATTTCGCTCTGGTTTTGTACAACAATTTTTTTTATTCGTAAAACATTTTGTTAGCGAACAAAAGTGTCCCGTCTTTAAACGTAAATAAGAAATAGCACCCGATTAATCAAGGACTAAATTCTTCATGTTAAATGTTTTAAAAAGATTACGCTTCAACCTTACAAGAAATAAAATTGTGTTATTCTTGACTTTTGCTTTCTTTTTAATTATTTTTTAGTAAAAGTAATGGCGGGTAACATTTTCCCTTCGATACAAAATATTTAATTCTTTTTAACTGGCTATTAATGTGTGATATATTTACTATTAACAAATTCAGTTTCAATTTTGATGGTTTTTATTTGTTTTAACTTATCTCAGTTAGGTATGAACTGTAATTCTTCTTTCAAAATCGAACTGCAAAAATTTATTTTTGGTTGAAGAAGCTTGTTATATTAAAAAGACATAAACTTTCCAACACGAAATTCGAATATTCTTTTCCAGTCTAACTGAACTTTATTTTTTTATTTTTGTAATCGCATTATTCACAATTACTATTATCAAAATGTATTACTTCTACTGGCAAACGTCCATTTTACAAGTATTTAATCGTTTTTCATTTGATTGAGATTAAAAAGTCAAAAATTTAAAAATTTAAACATGGTTTACAGAAGATTCTAGATAAAAGTATTTAACAATAAGTTGAATGTGAAGATGGAAATGATTTGTTCCATAGATTTTTTAATTTTAATAGTAAAAAAATTACTATTCTACAACTATTTTTAACATCTAGGTCCCACTCTTTTACCGTTGTAATAGTTAAATGTAAACGCCACTTTTACTCCAACAGCTTCTTTTCTCGCACTTCCCGCCTGTTGAACTCGCTTCCGTTTACTTGCTTCCTTGATAACTACAATCTCCAAAAATCTAAATCGCAATCTTCCGATGTCTTGAACCATGTTCAACTTTTCTCCTTTCCTCATTCCCCCCCCACACAGTTCTTTCTCACATCTCCACTCTATATAACCCCCTGCAGGCACTCCCGCCATGTTCAGGGGTGAAATACTTATATATATATATATATATATATATATATATATATATATAATACTGGTGGAATAGTCATTATATATATATATATATATATATATATATATATATAACTCACATCCATACTAAGTATGTTAGCTACATCACTGATATTGAGCTCTTTCCAATAAGTACCGCACACACACACACACATATATATATATATATATATGTATATATATGTAATGACTATTCCACTAGTATTATATATATATATATATATATATATATATATATATATATATATATATATATATATATATAACACAAATAACCATGATAAAGCTAGCCACATCAAATTACCTACCAACTCAATAATGACTACAACTAGGAATAATTTATCTAAACTTATAAAATTTGTTAAAACTGCTTCAAAAACCATAACAGATTTAATTAATACTAAGCAAAATAATAATATAAAGTCTCTTTTGTAGATTCCTGCTTCAGGTTTTGGATTATATCTTTGTTTGTATTAGTTAAATTCGTTATTGTTTTTAAGTAGTTGTAACAAATATTATATTAAATTTGGATAAAAAAAATTAAATCCAAATTTAAAAGCTTTTATTGCATACCTGGGTAAAAGCGTGCAATACATCAGCATTTTGGAAATTGAATCAAAAATTTAAATTTTCAAATAAAATAGAGAACTTTCAATTAAGTTAGTGTATCAAAAGTATTTTCGGTTTTTAGATACTTCAATGATTCAAGATGTAGATGCGCGAACAGTGTAAAATTTATCGGAGTGGAAGAAAAATCGACGATCCGAGATCAAATTCTGGTTCACAATATTGCATACACATTGTCACTAATGATTTTCTCTTTAGTTTTGGATAGAATAGTAGACTAGAATAGCCATACTAGCCTTTGGTGGCAATCAGCCGAGAAGGAGAAAAACTCTGGATTCAAAATTGTCAATGAGAAATTACTCCAACATTCTTCCGAAGTAGTCATGTTAATTTACAGATAATAAAAATAGAATCTGAATCTGCTAATAGCCATGGTTGCCACAGTCTAAAAAGATCATAACATTTACGAAAAAAAAAAGAATGTGGATCTCTGAATAGCCATTGTCACATCGATCTGAAAGGTTCATAGTATTTACACAATAAGCGGATTTTAATCTGTGAATAGCCAAGTTGTATCAGTCTTAGAGTTTCAAAGTTACACAAAAAACGGAATCTGAATCGGTGAATAACAATGTTCGCCTAAGTCTTGCAGGGTCATGGAATTTACACGAACAAAATGGAATATGAATCTCTGAATGGCCATGTTTGCCTCAGCCGTAAACTGTTATAGTATTTACAGAAAAACAGATTCTGAAACTGAGAATGACTATAGTCAGATCAGCCTTAAATCGCCATAGCATTTACACGAAAAAACAAACAAAATCTGAATCCAAGAATATTCATAGTCGCTTAAAACGTCGCATCTTCACAAAAAAAAAAAAAAACGAAATCTAAATCTGTGAATAGCCATGGTCACCTCAGACGTAAACGTTCAGAACATTTACACAAAAAACGGAATTTAGATCTTTGAATAGCCATGGTCACTTCAGACATATAGGGTTATTGTATTTACACACAAAAAATGAATCTGTGAATAGCCTTGGTTCCCTCAGTCGAGAATCCAAATCTTTGAATAGCTATAGTCGCATAAAGCTTAAATGGTTATAGCATTCACACACACACACACACACACACACACACACACACACACACAGAGAGAGAGAGAGAAAAACACGGAATCTGAATCTCTAAATAGCCATGTTTGTCCACATTTTAAATGGTCGTAATATTTACAAAAAACCCGAATCTGATTATTTGAAAAGCCATGGTCGCTTTAGACTTGAACTTTCAAAGCATTTACACAGGAATTGGTTCTGCGAACAGCCATGGTCGCATCAGTCTTAAACCATTTAAACAGAAAAGTGGAATCTGGATCTTTGTATAGCCAGGATCGTGCCAGTCATAAATGGTCATAGCAGTTACGCAAAAAACTAATTCTGAAACTGTGAATAGCCATAGTCGCATCAGCCTTAAATGGTCATAGAATTTAAACGAAAAAACAGAATCTAAATCTAAGTCATTGCATTTTTAATCGTGTTCGCCCCGAGAAGACAGTAAAGCCACTAAGACACAAGGTGTTACTGGGTGTGAAAAAATTAGAAAACAGAAATGTTACTAAGGAGCGGGAACAAAAGAGGAGTAGTCAGGAGAACTGTAGATAATGATTGACATTGCATTCAAATTTTCAAAGATTAAAGTATACTTAAACGTATGGAACAGGAAGGGAGTTCCACAGGCGACAAGAACGAGAAAATAAACTATTAGCATAGAACTTACGGTTGCCTCAATCCAACTCAACTAAATTGATGAGACCTCGCCGTCAGTCTAGTACGGCACTTAAATTCATAAAGTCTAGGTGCCATAATGAAGAGCTCATCCGAACAATTACCATGAAAGTATTAATAAAAACAGGACAGGGAGGTAACCTTACGGCTGTGTGAAAGTGACTGAAACTGTGACACCAAATCAGGACCAGTAATATTGTTGATTCTTCTTTGTATTTTATCAAGCATCTCTCGATATATAGCAGCAGCAATGGACAAATATTAGACTTGTAGATATGTAAGACAGATTCTAGAGAGAACAATTGTCTAGCACCATACACTGAACTTCTTTTAGCAGCTGACCTAGCAATGGATTCAATTTAGTCTTTCCACTTCATTTCAGCCGAGAACGTTAATCCTAGTCACTTTCCTGGAGGTTAGTATCAGCCATGGAAGGCAGAAAGGAGTCTCTCAGGTGAGCAGATTAGTTTTGGGAGCGTTAAAATTAATACGCCATCTTTTGCTTCAGTTAACAACAGACCGGAAGTCGTTTTTATATCAGTCGTCAATTTGACATTATCAAACTGATCAGACATACTATCGAGACAGGATTAAATGGTTGTGTCATCAGTAAGAGCTGACACCATCGGGAAGGTCGTTATGAATTTTTGAGTTTGTACTTTCCTTCATCTTATTTTTGGCTGGATTTTATCGCGACTTTACTTCGTCCGTCAATCTATAAAAATGAGAAAGCAGGACTGATCAAAAATAAAAGATAAACTCTTAGTGAAACGTAAATTCATGACTCAGAGAAGTCAAGTTAAATTATGCAAATAATCTTAAGGCTTTAAAGATCCAGGAGGGTGGCACACTATCAAAGGCTTTAAAGATCCAAGAAGGTGGCACACTATCAAAGGCTTTAAAGATCCAAGAGGAGAGCCCACTATCA